AAATGTAATGGATTTATCAAAACAAACAGTGCTGTACTTTTTGTGATGCAAAATGTTCCAGCTGCAACAAAGTTCAGACTGCAGTAATGACTACCTAGAGGTTCGTGAGGGACACTCCACTGGTACTCTGGTCGGTCGTTTCTGTGGTGATTCCCTTCCTTCCAACTACACCTCTATAATGGACCACATTCTTTGGATCAAGTTTGTCTCTGACTCCTCAGTCAGCGGAGCTGGATTTAGAGCAGTATTCTCCCACTGTAGTCAGAGCAATGGATTACTCTTTTCTTTTTTATGTGGACCCTGCTGTAAATACCAACTAAGACTAGCCTGAATTTCCATTCTAGTCCAGCGTGATTATGTTGGTTAATGCTGGTTTCCTGGGCCTGAATAGTCATTCTGTGCACCAAAAACCTTGGCTATGGTTGTACAAAGAAGTCTTGCTGGTTAAAATCTCCTGAAGTTAGAAAACCTTACATGAGAATATCTTTACTCTTTTCCTGAATCCTCAGTGTATGGAAATGAGATCACGGGCAGCTCGGGACAGATAGCCTCCCCTCTTTACCCACGCACCTACCCAAACAATGCTGACTACCACTGGACTGTCACAGTGGACTCAGATTCCCACATCCAGATTTAGTTCCTGGACATTGACATTGAGGATCTCTTCAATTGCTATTATGACAAGCTCAAGGTCTGCACTCTTGTTTAAAACATAACTTTTAAATGCTATAATGGTTTAACAGAAAATAAGCGAATGCAGGCATATGAAGATCAGTGCTTCCCTTCTTTAGATATATGATGGTCCGAGCACCAATGCTTTCCTACTGGGTGAGTTCTGCGGCCTGACTCTGCCCAACCCAGTAAGAAGTTCAGGCAGCACTATAACTCTTGAGTTTAAATCTGACACTGTGATTGGAGGGAAAGGCTTCCTCGTTGAGTGGACGGCTGTTCAGGGCACTGGTCCCTTGCCGACTATAGAGCCAGGTTAGTTCCCTAAGGAACCTGCCTCTCAGATCTTGCTCAAATCAAAAAAATGTTGCTGCTTGGTCTCATTTCACAATTATTTACTATTGTTTTGTCTTTTCAGGAGCTTGTGGAGGAACATTGATGACAGGAGACAATCCCCAGTTCTTATTCTCTCCATCTTTCAATGGTTTAAAGAGTATTATTTCCCTTCTTAGCTACATGTGGAGGTACCTACATTGGCCAGAGTGGTATCATTAGAGGCCAGAGTGGTATCATTAGAAGCCCCGGTTATCCAGACTCAAATTATCCAGACAACTCTAACTGCGAATGGTACCTGGAAGGTCCCACTGGACACTACCTGACCCTCACCTATACCACCCTTGACCTGCAGAGCTCCTCCAATTGTAAAAATGACTATGTGGAGATACGAGAATACAATGCTTCAGGTTTGGGTTCTTCTTACACAAAAGCGAGTTGAGTCTTTCTGATTGTTGAAGATAGTAAACTAAGCTTTACTTTCATATCAGGTCGCCTGCTGGGGAAACACTGTGGAAACAGCCTTCCTGCTCCCCTGGACACTGGAGACAGTTTTGCCTATGTAAAGTTTGTCAGTGATGGCAGCGGGAATGCTGCAGGGTTTAGTTTATTGTTTGAAGCCAGCGTCGAAGGCAAGTGTCTTTACGTTGCTTTCTCTGAATATTGTTCAATTCAGTGCTTTAACACTACTTTGCTGTTTTGATTCTTGGGTTGGTAGGTCATAAATGGTCTGACACCGTTAACCCGGCAAACTATGTATTGCTTTCTCTGAATATTGTTCAATTCAGTGCTTTAACACTACTTTGATGTTTTGATTCTTGGGTTGGTAGGTCATAAATTGTCTGACACCCAGTGCCCCACAATTGGGTCGGTTATGCGTGACAGTCCCTGCTGGTACCCAGTTGAAATCTTCCGGGAATACTATGCTTGTAATTTTCAGCACTGATTCATCTGTGTCTAATGGTGGATTCACGGCAGATTACTCCCTTTGAAGCCAGCGTTGAAGGCAAGTGTGTTTAAATCCTTACAGTGTCCAGTTAGGGTCATATAGTCCAGTGGGTAAAGCTCATGACTAATTGTTTTGGATAAAAACATTTATACCTACATAGTTGTGCTGTTGGTTATAGAGCAGTTCCATGGGTAACTGGTGATAAGCTACTGTTGCTCTTATAGAGTGTGGAGGGGATCTGAACGCACCATTCGGGACGATATCATCTCCCAACTACCCCAATCTGTACCCCCACAGCCGAGTATGCCGCTGGAGAATCACTGTTCCTCCGGGTCGTAGGGTCACTCTTACGATCAATGACCTGAGGCTGGAGGAGCACGGCACCTGTATGTTTGACTATGTGGAGGTGAGGTCATCTGTATGTTTTAGAGATGTCAAAAAGTTGGACATTCTGTGTTAACCCGGCAAACTATGTATTGCTTTCTCTGAATATTGTTCAATTCAGTGCTTTAACACTACTTTGCTGTTTTGATTCTTGGGTTGGTAGGTCATAAATTGTCTGACACCCAGTGCCCCACAATTGGGTCGGTTATGCGTGACAGTCCCTGCTGGTACCCAGTTGAAATCTTCCGGGAATACTATGCTTGTAATTTTCAGCACTGATTCATCTGTGTCTAATGGTGGATTCACGGCAGATTACTCTTCAGAGGAGGCCGCAGGTGAGAGAGAAGAACTCTGACTTTAGTGTATGCTTTTTGTTTGTTTGTTTTTGGATCCTGATTTGATTGGTGAATCTTTGTCGTTTTGGTAGTGTGTGGTGGGATACTCCGTGAACCTGGAAACTTCACCTCGCCTGACTTTGGCAATGGAAACTACAGCAACAACCTGAACTGTGAATGGCTAATCCAGAACCCTCATCATATGAATTCTTCCATTGTGGTTATTATAGATGAGCTCCATCTAGAGCAGTGATTCTCAAATCTGGCTCGCGAGATCCACTTTCCTGCAGAGTTTAGCTCTAACCCTAATCAAACACACCTGAGTTTGCTAATCAATGTCTTCCGGACCATTAGAAAATCACAGGTATAGTTGTTTGATTAGGGTTGGAGCTAAACTCTGCAGGAAAGTGGATCCCGCGAGCCAGATTTGAGGATCACTGATCTAGAGCATCACCAAACTTGTGAGTGGGACTACTTGGAGTTCAGACTATGTACGATTTTCCAAATGCAGTAAAAGAGAAATAACATTATGTACACCATCCAATGTACCATTTACTTTTACTCTATTTTAAAGCTGTTATACGGCATGTTTTATCTGTACCTTGTATACAGGAGATATGAATGGAGAGCTCTTGGATCATTTATGTGGTCAGTCCCCTCCTACAGTCCCCATAGTAGTGTCCACCCCTGAACTCTGGGTTCACTTCCTGTCCGATGAGGCTGTGGTTGATCTGGGCTTCAAAGCCACGTATTACTTTTCAGGTACCATTGTTCAATCAGTGACACTTAGAGAGCTGGATCTCTGCTCTTTAAAATCCTGCATGAGCTCAACTGACTATGATTTTTCTCAGAATGTGGAGGGTCACAAAGTGGAGAGGGAGGTGCCATCTCTAGCCCTGGATATCCTAATAACTACCCCAGCCCAAGCCGCTGTACTTGGCTTCTCGAGGCTCCGGTGGGCCACACTATTATTGTAAGTCAAGACTGCTTCTTGGGTCTGCTGTTTTTTTTAACTGTTTTCTTCAAACCTTTACAATGAAGTTCATCATTAACGTCACATAATTTCCGTATATTCTAGCTCACTTTTACATACTTTGAAGTGGAGAAACACAGCCAGTGCACCTGGGACTCTGTAACAATCTTCAATGGAGCCCCACCAGGATCCCCAGTTATTGGTCAATACTGTGGCCACAACTATCCAGGAACTATCCAATCAGGCTCCAACAAGTTAGTTGTATTGTTCCTTGTTGATCATACGGTGTCCAGAGGAGGGTTTACTGCCACCTGGTCAACGGACTCATCAGGTATAAAAAATATATCTCGCTGTCTACTTTCTGTAGACGTTTCACATATTGAATGACTTTCTTTTTTTTCCTGAAATTTATTTCGCTTCTTCAGGATGTGGAGGAATTATCCATGCTGATACAGGCACCATCAAATCTCCCAATTATCCTCAGAATTTCCCAGCCAATACTGAATGTTCCTGGACCATCATCGCCAATGATGGAAACCATCTATAGATGGGCTTTGCCAGTGACTTCCAGATCCCAGACTCAAGTGGACAGTGTCAAAACAGTTACATCAAGGTAAACAGATGACCATTTAAAAAGAAACCTTCCCTGATGTTGTTTTTTTTGGGATCTGGTAATAAATTTTCCATATTCTGTCTATATTTACCTGACAGGTGTGGTCAGACAACGTACAGAATGATAAGAATCTCTTGGCCACTGGTTGTGGCACTACAGCCCCTGCTGCTGTCATTGCACCCCGAAATATTATTACGGCTAGTTTCCAGTCCTCAGATACACCTGGCAAAGGCTTCTCTGCTGCATTCTACACTAGTATGTATTATAAGGGTGTATGACAGGTTTTCTTCCCCTGACAAATAATTCAAATAATGCAATGGATCTATTTCACATCATCTTTTAGGTTGTGGGGCCAATTTCACAGCCTCAACTGGCCGTGTCGTATCTCCAAACTACCCAGACCACTACCCGGGAGGCTCCAACTGTAATTACATTATTGATGCTGGAGATCAGACCATGGTTGTGCTTACTTTTAAAACTTTCCAGTTAGAGGGTATGCACTACATCAAAAATCCCTAATTTTTTTATACATCTTGACATAAGAAATCTAAAAATAATTTAGAGGATAACAGCAGTTCTGTAAGGTGAATAATCATGCCTTTCCATCTTCTCTAGCACACTCCACATGTGTCTATGATGGTGTAAAGATCTATAGTGGCATCACCCCCAGTGGTGTTCCCTTGGCTACTCTTTGTGGAAATACCATACCAATACTTCACCACATTTGGACCAATGCTCATCAACTTCTACTCTGATTCTATCATCCATGACAATGGCTTCCTGGCAGAATACAGAACCAAACGTAAGCCTCAACCACAAAACAAACTGTACATTTAATGCAATACTGTTTGGTTCTCTATATACTGTACTGACAATCAATGCAAAAAATGACAATCAGTAGAATACAATAATAATTAATTAATTTGAACACTGATACAGGATATGGCTTAGATGGAGGTGTGTGCTAGAGTAAATTTGGGTTGTTTATCGTGGCAGTAATGTAGATCTAATTCACTGAGCCCACAAATGTGGAATGAGCAGAATGACTGGAATGAGAGGACGCTGCACTTTTCAAACAATATGAGGGGATTTGGGAGCATATGCAAATATGCAAGAGAATTCCAATGCAGATTCCACTGTTACTTCCACAAACAAACTCATTCACTGTAAATGGTGCACAATAGAAATGCACAGTCAAGTGCTCTTTGACTTGGTGCTGTATGGGAATCATCTGATTCAAAAGACTGTAACTGTCATGTTGCTCACAGATCAAGATGTGTGATACTTTGACCTTGTTCCTTTATGGTTCTCATTTTGGAATAGTGTGAAGAATGTGTGGATGATTTCATAGTGAATCACAAAGACAAAGATCTCATTGAGCACTGAACAAAGTGTTCAGGGGTCATAAAAGGTGTTCTTTGTAACAGCTTTGTGCTTAAAAGCGTCTGATGCACCAGTCACTCCAGGATGACCAGGCTCTTGAAGGAGAAGTTGTAAACACTTTTGTAGCTCGTCTTTGGGGGTGTTGAGTGAACCGCCCCATCCTACAACCACCACTGTTGTTCTTTGAGAACAACACAACTCATTCAGACCTCAGAGTCTGTTCCCTCATCCTGACAGAAGTCTTTATTGGCTAGTGCTGTGAAAGAGCCAATAAAGTACCCCTAATTCTTTTGTTGTGTCCTACAATTTATATGCAAATAAACGTAGTATTTTTGTGGCTGGTTAGAATTTACATTAACAGTTATATACATTTAATTCATTTATTGAATGAAATTTGACAATACATTATTGAATTTACATTAATTCATTTTTATTTAAAACTATATAATATTAACGTTATTATTATAAAATTAACTTCATTTTAATTGTAATCTAAATTTTATTAACTTCAATTTATGTTTGTAAATATAATAAAATATTAATATTATATTATATGTAATAGTATATTATTTTTTTACTTATATTAATATTAACTTTTATTTATTTTTGTGAATGTAAATCTACATCATATATATAATTCATATTATACATATTTTTAATTATTTATAATATACATCATTGTAAAATTCACTTATATAATATTAACAATTTTATTTACTTTTATAAATTTAAATAAATGCTATTATATAATAATTAAACATTTATTTATTTATATTTATTAGCATAATATTAACTTAAATTTTAGTTTAGTTTTAGTAAATTTTTACCTTTATTCAGACACATGGTATCATGTGGAAGGACGTTCTCAATCAAATAATATTTGACAAAAATGTGTACGCCATGAGAACAAGATGAGTAAACAATTTTAATCTGCTTTTTTATTATTTTAAATAAATCGGCTAATAGTTCATTTGGACAACTTCTAAGAGAAAACTAGGCTTTGAATCTAACAAACAAAGACAAAAACTCACAAATTGTCACTTTTATGGACTCTGCTGCCTCTTGCAGGTGGTTTCTTGAAAGCACTACAGTTGTTATAAATCTCTCTCACTCATTCTCTCCACCTCCTCATCCATCATTTTCTCCAGGTCCTCAGCAGGTCTACCTATCTTCCCCCACTGGAATGTTTGGTTCTCCTGATATTGACATGAATGGCCAGTACGAGCCACGTATGGAATAAAGGCATTAACCTCACATTCACATACTTTGAGCTCGAGGGCCCCACTGGATCCCTCTGCAGATACGATTATGTCAAGGTAAAAGCTGTCACACATAACATAACATAAATTAGAATGCAGCATAATTTCCAACACACTGTATATTTATACTTGCATCTTACCCTTCTGTAGATCTATGATGGTGACCGTGCTAATTATCCACTGGTTGGCACATTCTGTGAAGATGTAGTACCCGCACTAGTGCACTTCATCTCGGATGGCACCGTTCAACGCCGTGGCTTCAATGCCACCTACAGCACAGTGGACAGTAAGATTGAACTTGCATAAATTAGAATGCAGCATAATTTCCAACACACTATATATTTATACTTGCATCTTACCCTTCTGTAGATCTATGATGGCTAATTATCCACTGGTTGGCACATTCTGTGAAGATGTAGTACCCGCACTAGTGCACTTCATCTCGGATGGCACCGTTCAACGCCGTGGCTTCAATGCCACCTACAGCACAGTGGACAGTAAGATTGAACTTTTTGTCCCAATGGCAGGTCATTTCATGTTGAATCAGTCATGCAAAAATGCTTTTTCACACTTTAGGTCTTTGTGGAGGAGCATTCAATGCCACAGCATCATCTCAGACCATCACATCCCCATATTACCCCAACGCCTACCCGCCGTTCACCTCTTGCCGCTGGGTGCTGGATGCTCCTTCTCGGGAGGTGGTGAAAGTGTCTGTTCAGCAGTTTCACCTGGACTCCAGCCAGAGCTGCGCCAGCAATTTCCTGGAGTTTAAGGACTTCCCTGTGGTGAGAGCCAGTCGCCCGAAACACAGCCTCACTAAATAACTAAAACAATCTAGAATCTCTCAGGTCACAATATCAGATCATTTTCTTAGGCTACATCCTCATCTTTTTATTTAGATTTGTCCTTCCGTTCACAATGAGGCAATGAGTTTGTCCACTGAAATAGGAGCTTTTTGAAGATGCTTTCCCAAGTGGATAAATTTCAAAATTCTGTTTATGTGTTGTAGGATGGTATGTGAAAACTACAGTATGTTATGTGTCGGCATGGATGAGCAACTTTTGGAAAACGCTAGTGTGGATGGAGAGCGTTTTGAGACGAAAATGCTGTTTTCAGATACATCTGATTCAATTATGGACATAGGCTTTAACCGTTTCAATCCTAATGATCCCAAGATTACACTGGATTGCAGAACAAAGCACTGTTTACAGAACAGTAAAATCTGTTCAGTATTAAATTAGTTAATTAATACTGCCTATTATGTTTTTCTTTAAATAACAACTAAACATTTCAAACAGTAGTATGCATTATCTCTTGACCTTATTGTATATGTCAGTTGATCTCAAAAAGGTATTTAAAATATTGTAAAAAAAAGTCATATTATTAATACTTGTTTTTTTAATATTATCAATTTTTATATTTACTATTTAATTTTATTTAAAACATAGTTTTCTTTTATCATTGCCATTTATCATACACTAACATTTTCAAGTTTATTGAAGTTTCCTGTCTTCACTTTTATGTTGTATTAAATTGGCAGCACAATGTCTTTACATTTTTTGTTTTGTCTCTCTGGGAGATTATGGACAGGCTCATAAGTTCTGTGGCATAGACTCACATGTGCCAGATTTCAACAGTTATGGCCGCACCATGCACATCACCTTCAAATCAGAAGCCTTCATGACTGGCAACGGATTCAGCCTCACATATCAGGTGGCAGGTGAGTCCTTTCCCTGTGATTACTAGTGTTTTTACTCGTCTCGGTGTGATTATATTGTCAGTGTGTGTATATGTCTGCACGTTATGTATCTGCAGGTTGCAGCAGGGTGTATGAACAGGAATACGGTTATCTTAAGAGCCCAGGCTGGCCTGACATATATCCTCATAATCTTGAATGTAGCATCGTACTGCAGGCCCCTCAGAACACCGCCATCTCTCTGTTCTTCACCAGTTTTGATGTGGAAAATCATCCTTCCTGCAACTATGACTATCTTGAGGCGAGTATAAACATGAAGCATGAAACAAACACAATAGAAATGCCACCAGATCAACAGCAATGTGAAGGAATAAACACGAAAATACCTACAGAATGAAAGAATCCTAAACGTATCATAAGTACATTGGATGACAGGACAAAACACTGTGTACATAACATTAGAATCTGATCAGATTAAAATACTAGCAGACTATATACTACCAACCAACTGTGCAATATACACTAAATACTTTTTTTTTTTTCAGTCTTTTTAAAAAAATTTTTTAAAATCATTAAACAGTAGTAGGCTACATTGTCACTTAAATATGACCCAGTGTTGTTATTAAGTAAAACTATTGCATTTGGACTGCTGAAATAAACTAAAACATTAATTTTAGATGAAAAACTTAAATTTAAAACATATGAAAATTAGAAATGTTGCCTTAGTAAATAACGGAAATAAAATAAGTTAATAAAATTACTAAAATCAATAACTTAAAATACTAAAACTGAAGTAAATATAAAGCTAAATAGATTTTTTTGAAATTTTTAAAATCTATGTTTTATTTAATAAACATTTATATAATATTTAATACATATTTTTAGTTTACATTTTTATTTATAATATTTAAAAATACACACTTGAATTGTAAACCTTAAATCCTTAAAACTTTAAATAAAAATCAAATAAAAATAAAAGCTTATTCAAAATATTAATAAATAGTTTAATAGCATATAAATAATACTAAAATAACATTGACATGACCTAATTACATTCATGTTTAATCCAGCAAGCTGTCCAGTTATTGTCTTAAATACAGTTAAATTAAAAATAATAAACGCTCCCGTTTTATGTAGAAAAATATCCTAGCATTTGTTCAGAAAATCATAGCTGATATTACTTGAGCTTTATTTGTCGCATTGGTAATTAGGTGTCAAGGTGAGTGCATTGCATTATGGGATATAGTACCCAGTGCAGTATGCTCTGTTGCTGCACATTTGGGCAAATGCAGGTAATCCGAATATTTCATACATACAGAAGTCTTGCATGCCTCATACATACTGCAGAAATAATAAAAGTAGTATGGTGTTATACTGCTGTGCTAGTACCTGATTATGATGATGATGATGATGATGATTTCTAATGTTTCTTTCTGCTGATATAGGTCAGAAATGGCAGTACTGCTACATCGCCTCTGTTAGGGAAGCACTGTGGAAGCACACTACCCAATCCTGTCTTCCCGGGCAGCAACCAGCTCTTCCTATATTTCAAGAGTGACTTTACTATAGCTCGTAATGGCTTTGAGATCACCTGGACTTCCTCTCCACAGGGTAAGAACGAAAAGCTTGTTATATTACGATTGCCTCGATCGAATACTGTTGAAAGTTTTATGCGAGTCCTAATTGAATTGTGTGTCCAGGTTGTGGAGGTGTGCTATATGGAGACCACGGCTCTTTCGCCAGTCCAAACTACCCTGGCACTTACGCCAACGGCACTTCCTGTGAGTGGGGAATTAGGGCTCCTAGCGGCCGAGTGGTGACGGTCACATTCAACCAGATCAGCATTGATGATCCAGGAGACTGCGAGAACAACTACTTGAAGCTGTATGACGGACCGGATGCTAATTCACCCGTTGTTGGGCCGTACTGTGGATTGGTATGTGTGAGAAAAAAAAAATGACACTCCTGTTAAGCATCTGTATTCCTATATATTCTACCTATATGACTTAAAACACACATTAAATTGATCAAAAGTGACATTAGATACATTTATAATGTTACAAAAGATTTCTATTTCAAATACTGTTCTTTTGAACTTTCCATTCATCAAAGAATCCTGAAAAAATTTTTCCACAAAAAGCAGCACAGCTGTTTTCAACATTGAATAATAATAAGAAATGTTTCTTGAGCAGCAAATCAGCATTATAATGATTTCTGAAGGATTATATGACACTGAAGACTGGAGTAATGATGCTGAAAATTCAGCTTTGATCACAGGAATAAATTACATTTTAAAATATATTCAAATAGCAAAGAGTTATTTTAAATTGCAATAATATTTCACAACATTCTACTGTATATTTGATCAAATAAATGCAGCTTTGGTGACATTCCTTTCAAAAAACATTTTTTAAACAATCTTACCGACCACAAACTTTTAAACAGTAGTGTGTTTATACTTAAATTATATGTGGATATGTAATTATTCTTTGCTTTTTTTCAGGAAACAAATATCGCCCCTTTCAGAGCTTCTTCAAACCTTGTGTTTCAGACTCACCTGGAGCAGCTGAGAAGAAATAAAAAAATAAATATTCACACACAGGCATGCACACAGAAACTTGTGAACATACTTAGCAATCATGTCACATAAATAATGTAATATGAACCATCATTTGTAGATAACTGTTTAAAGAATGGATTTATGTATGTATTTTTGATGCCTTTTTGGAAAATAAAGATATTTCATGAAGTTCTTGTTTAATTATGTTATGTTTGAGAGACCGTCATAAAATAATTTTACGAAAAAAACAACTAAAACTTTAAAAAGATCTCTTTTGTGATTTTTCTATGGTAATATGTCTCTTGAAGTGTGTGTGTCTCTAACAGAGTGTCCACTACACAAATCAATTTACATATTTACACTCATTTCAAAAGCTGTGAATGTTTGGACATTTTTTTTTTAAGTGCTTAATGTTTTCACTGTCTGATATCCTCAGCTCCACTCTGGACTTCATCCAAACCACCCACTCTGACATCTCAAAGCCAGATGTGTTATACTTTACACACCCAACACAGAGAGAGGCTATGAGTGACAATGAAGAGAATGGTGAATTTGGAGAGAGATAAAAGCAGTGCGCAGCAGGTACAGACACTGCTAATGGGTCTATCTGCTCTGTAGAGGGAGACAGGCTTCAGCTTTTTTCATGCGATGCTTCTATATAAAGCAAACAAACATTCCATGTAATATTTCTTTTTTCTTCTTCTTCTAAACTCAGCAAAATGCTCCCATTTAAGTCAAAGAAAGTCTGGGAAAAGAGGCCCAGCAGTCTGATCAACAGAAAAACAGAGTTTTGAGACATTACCATCTGTATTAAGGCCTTTCTCATGATTTTCACAATCATTTTATAATTGTTTTCCATAACTTTACAGGCTGAAGCTCGGTGTAATAAAAATGTGTTGACCTCGAAAACAGTGCCTCGGAAAAGAGCTTTGGGAGACATTCATTACTGATGCAGAGAGGGATATATATATATATATATG